CCTTCTTCTCAACTCCATGTTCATTAGAGGCAGGAGAAGCTAGGGAATTTCAGGGTGTGTGTAGATAATCAGCCTGGTAAAATAGAGAATTATTTAGCCAGTAATTTGTTTTCTCTCCCAGGAACATGCTGTGTTTGTCCATATAAATAATCTTTCCGTTGCAGATTGAATGTAAGATTTTAAGTAGTTAACTCACTTTGCTATTTTATTTTATTGCTTTTATAATTTTTTTTTTTTTGAAGTTTTGGCTGGCTTCCCTCAAAATAAGTTGGTAAAGGGGAAAATAAATATGCTGTTGGTTGCACTTACAATAGTGCCATTGTGTGAAGCAGAGCAAGGATCACTTCCAAACGGCCTCAGGTGAAATCTAATGGGAAACAATTTCAAACTGGTCTGAGTTCATTGGTAGAAAGAATGTGTCTTAGATAAACATCTGATCCAAGTTATGCTACTTTGTACTACTCCTTCTCTTATTAAGTTCTAATTTTTTTATTTTAATAAATATACTTGCATAGGCCGGTTGGAATAAGGAGCCTGTTATATTGTCTTTAATGTGGATTCTATAAAAATGGTTGTTTGCAGGTTACTCTGATTTATGAGGCTGCCACAGCTTTTTCTTATTACTGAAAGTGATCGTTTTCTATAAACTGTTTCTCATAGAGAGGATATTTAGCATAACCCACTCCTGCCGGCGACGGCCTTTCAGACACAATTTGCAGTTTTTAAGACCGTGCAACATTGTTTGTTGTTTTTCTTTCTTTTGACTATTTCAATCTGTGTTCTTAACATATTTCCAGGAAAGCTCCCATCTGCCTGCTTCCCTGCTCTTAGCTCAGCATAAAGACAGATCTACACAGCTAGAAATGCAGCTGGAAAAACCCAAACCAGTCAAACCAGTCACATTTTCTACTGGCATCAAAATGGTAAGAGTCCATTTGTTTTCTTTTTAGTTTCTCACCTTTCAAAGAGCACCACACTTTCTAATCTGAAACAGAGATGTTCTCTCTTACATTTTAAAAGTTGCATAATTACAGTTCTTAATTACTGGCATCATTTAAAAAAAAAATGGCTCGGGAACTTCAGCAGTGTAGAACTTAGAAGGTAAGAGATCCCTTTGGACTCCATACGAGGCTCAAAGGGGTGTGTTTACACACATGCACACACGTGTTCATACACACACCTTATTTTAAGCCTTGTATGCAGTCATAGATTCATAGATGTTAGGGTCGGAAGGGACCTCAATAGATCATCGAGTCCGACCCCCTGCATAGGCAGGACAGAGTGCTGGGTCTAGATGACCCCAGCTAGATGCATATCTAACCTCCTCTTGAAGACCCCCAGGGTAGGGGAGAGCACCACCTCCCTTGGGAGCCCGTGTCAGAAGGGATCGCATTCTAAGTTACATGTGTGCACATGCACACACACACACATATATATTTTCCCCTGAAACATTGTGCTTTTATTAGTACTTTGGAAAGTTGTTTTTTCTTCTGCCTGGGTTTGGTCTAATCATTCTGGAAGCTAATATACATTTTTGAATCTTTGGAAAAGGTTGGTGTAAAAATGTCTGCAAATCAAAAAATAAGAATCCTTTTCTCATGATTGTTTGGTCCTATGTTGAGACAAGGATTTTTCCTAACAGTAAATATGTTAGCTTTGCTGTGGCAGTTAAAGATCTGTCAGTTTTCTTGTTTTTATACAGCGTGCATGCATGAATATTGGGTAGGTACTCTCAAGTTGCTTAACTGTATAACATGACTGCAGTCCCAGTATTGCATCTCTTCTTTACATTATAAGAAAAATTGATTACCGCATATTGGTTCAGTGCATAAAACACTCAATTTGTAGCGTCTTTCTGCCCCTATATCTGCTTGGTAGTGGCATTGTACTCCAGTTAACTCCCTGAGGACTGGCACCATAAACAGCGCCAGTAGGAAGCAGCTGACAAAGAGCTGCTATTAGATGCCTTGATGTTGATGGGTGTTATCTCCTTTACTTTCAAGACTTCTAATAGTACCAAAGCTTAAAAAAAATTGTCATTAATAGTCTTAGGGCTGCTAATATCACAGGACTACCAGGCTGTGTATGTAATTTTCATCGTTACGTTAAGTTTGAATAAGTGTATGTTCTGGGTAAGTACATAAACTTTTTTCAGTCTCAAAGCTCTGCGCTTAAACGGAGTACACCAACTCCCTTCTTTCTGTCATGCCATAATATAAACACCCGCACTATTTTTATTGCAAACTAAACATTTTGTATGTATTTTGCTGAAAAAAATGATAGAACAGATTATCTATTAAGAATTTGGTGTAAAACAGTAAATCCATTCCTAATCTTCACCTTGACCCCCTGTCTATTTTCGGGGTCTCAAAAAAGATTCCATTTGCAAAATCATCTCCACACCTTATAGTCTAATGGCCAAAATGATGATGAGGACTAATCTGATGACCAAAAATAGATCCTCAAAAACGGAACAAGCAAAACCCACCTCAGCCTGCCTCTGGCATCAAGTCTGTTTTTCTCATAGGTATCTGAAGTGTATTCTCTGATCTCCTTCGTAGCCGCTCTTGTATCACACTGTGTTTCTAGAATCCAAGCGTATCTCAGCTCTTGACAAATAGATAAAAGCTGTCAGTTGCAAGACTTTTTTTCCTGTGATCTGAAATGTATTTTCTTTTGTAATCCTTCCTAAAATTTGAAGATTAAATGTGTGCCCATCCTCTAGTGTATTGGTGTGTCAAGAGAGCCCTCTGGCAGAATATGACCATTATTTGAGAAATAATCCAACTGAGCAACTGTCCTAACTGTTGTTTAAACTGTAAAATATTCTCCTGGATGTAATTCTTAGTCTTATGTACCATTGAAGTATGTCCCACGAACATCTGAAAAGTATTCTATACTTGGAAAGAAGCAGGATGATGTGCATGTGTCATAGGAGGATGCTAATATCCCTTTTTAGACCATTAGTAGTCAAGGTAGGTGTTCCTAGTGTCCTGCAGGGATAAATATTTTAAAATCACAAGCCCAGGTAGCTAGCAGGTAGACTCTTAAATGGACTGGCTGAAGAGGCTTCTGGCTAGCTTGATGTTCGTTTTAAAAAACTCTTGGCATACCAGGGAAACACCAGGATACTGAAACAGGGCTGATGTTGTGCCAATATAGTCAAAGAGCAGGTTCCTAGTTTAAAAAACTATTTTAAAGAAAGCATGGTCTGTGGAGATGTAGAGTGAATTCGCACTGTGGGCCCAAGCGCATGATTTCCTAAGCATGTCTGACAAGGCACTGCTGTGGCACCTCAAATCTTGAGAAACACAGTGCCTCCAGTTTGTGGCATTCGGCTTTTCAGGTAGAGGAAGTTCCTTGTCTGGGGTCCCACCCTTAGAGGGTGCAGTAGTTTTTGAAAGTGCTCAACATGGACTGAACAGAGCTAGGTCAGAGTCTTTATCTTTGCACTGAATTCAGTGGGAGTTTTACTTGTTTCATTTGTGTCCCTGGGAGCAGAGTCACGGTAATGCTGTTTTTTTCAAAATCCCACCACAGGAAAGGCAGCTTTGTGGTGTTCAGACCTGCAGCCAAGTGAGTGTTGCTATCTCCAGGAAGGTGCTTCAGTTTCAACTTCCTCCATGGAGAGCGTTAGCAATGTGTAGATCACCGTCTTTTCCTCCAGCTGGATCATTGGGCTCTTCTGATGGTGGCTGCTTAAAGTTTGCAGATAGAAATAGCAGAGGCCAGGTAGTGCTCACTAAAATTTTTTGCATGGCTAAAACCTTGGTTTGCATCAGTGTGACTACTTAAAACATTTTTGCCAATTGTGCTATAACAGTGTTTGGCTTAAATGGAAGTGCTTGCCCTGGGAGAGACTAGGTCACAGGGGTTCTTCAGCCTGACTGATGATCTGGCAAAGTTTTGTTCTGGATTACAAGTGATGTACCTGTTCCAGTCTTCTGCAAAATGCTCAGCTAGGTGGGCTGGTCATGAGAAATCTTTTTATCTGACCTTGAGTTTCTCTTCGTGGGGTGGAATCTCTTCTGTTAATAATCTAAACAAGGGCATCTTTTATCGTGGGGACAGGAGAGACATAGAATCACACAATCATAGAAAGTTAGGGTTGGAAGGGACCTTAGGAGGTCACATCTAGTCCAACCCTCTGCTCAAAGCAGGACCAGCCCCAACTAGATCATCCCAGCCAAAGCTTTGTCTAGCCAGGTTTTCAACACCTCCAAGGATGGAGCTGCCACCACCTCTCTGGGTAACCTGTTCTAGTGTTTTACCACCCTCCTAGTGAGAAAATTCTTCCTAATATCTAACCCAAACTTCTCTTGCTGCAAATTGAGACTGTTGCTCCTTGTTGTGTCATCTGCCACCACTGAGAACAGTCCAGCTCCATCCTCTTTTGAACCCCCCTCTAGGTAGTTCAGCCCACACTCAGTCTTCACTTCTCTAGATTAAATAAGCCCAGTTCCCTCAGTCTTTCCTAAAACATGTGCCCCAGCCCCCTCACCGTTTTTGTTGCCCTCCACTGGACTCTCACCAATTTATCTACATCCTTTCTGTAGTGCCTGGGGGGGGGTGTCCAAAACTGAACACAGTACTCCAGATGTGGTTCACCAGTGCAGAATAGAGGGGAAGAATCACTTCCCTTGACCTACTGGCAATGCTCCTACCCATGCAGCCCAGGATGCTGTTGGCCTTTTTGGCAACAAGGGCACACTGCTGGCTCATATTCAGCTTATTGTCCACTGTCACCCCCAGGTCCTTTTCTGCAGAGCTGTTGCCCAGCCAGCCTGTACTGGTGCATCTTCCTCTTCATCTGGCTTCTCTTGCAGGGACTAGGACCTCCTTTTCTGGCTTATTTTTAGTTTGATTTTAGTCTTTTCTTCATTTAGGCATGACCTGTTCTTTCTTTGTAGCGTAGTGTACCATTTTGGCTTCCTTCTTTCAATTCAGTTATCTGGAAAAGTTCTTCACTTATGAAACATGGCTTCTCCACAATCAAGCTGTTTGATTTCAGGCTTCCATGAGAGGGTGTAGAGAGTGATACTTTTGTTTTGTTTTTTATTGATGTACTTTCCCTTCAGATCTCACGATTCCCTGCATACTTGTTACTTAGAGCTTTCTACAGGGTTTGAATATTCAGATCTTAATTTCCTTTAGTGTCTCTCAAACCTACTCTACAAACCAGTTTCATGCAGCCAAGAAAGGTGGAACAACTCTAGTTATGCTTCCTTGTAAAGCTGAGGACAAACATACCTTTTAACCTCTCCAAAGGGGATGGGGAACTGCTGCCCGGGAATATGCATGGCTGTTGTGTTGCTACAGGAGTGCAGAGATCTGAGTTGGCTAAACCACTTCAACTTCAGCACTCTGGAACTAGGGGGGATGAACGCTACCGCTGCTGCTTACCGCCACTTTTCCCCAGCTGATGACTTGAGTCACCAGTGGCACCTGAAGACCCCAAATTCAGTGATGGGCAAAAAAAAGGTGCTGGGGGCGAGAGGTGGGAGCATTCACCTTCTGGGTTCCAGAGCCATGTTAATGCAGGCCATGTGCAGTCCTCCAGCCATCGGTTGGACAGCCCTAGCTTAGATCAGCATCATTAGTCATAATTGTTACATCTGTCTGTGTCCTAATGGTGTTCATGTTGTCATTTTGTTGTCTATGCTCATCGCTCAATAGTTTAATGTTGGCCAAAGGGGGTAACTCCACTGGTGGATGGATTCTAGAGCTTGCCTATGCTAAAGACACTGGTTTTCAACTTTATTAGACTTCAGGCACCCCCCAGAAAATGCCAGTTCTTAGTTTTAACTTGTTTTTTTTTGACTCCGCAAAAGTAATAGAGCAATTTTTCTGTTGTGAGGACCTCAAAGTTCATGACAGGTGAGAATGTTTTGAACGCTGTCTTTGAAATTTTGGGGTTTATCTT